GAATTGTATCAGCAGCTCCTATGGCAGATTGAACTTATTCAGCTGGCGAGAGAAGTACAACCTCTGCTGGGCCTTTTTCGCAATGGATTCAATGTGATTGTCCCACTTCAGGTCCTGAGAGATGGTAGAGCCCAGGAACCCGAATGACTCCAATGCAACCCTGAGGAGCTCCAGTACTGATAGTGAGGGTCCTGGATGTGAGTTTCCCCAGTCTCACTAACTGCTGCCTATGTCAGAAAGCTGGAGATCCACTGACAGATTGGAGTGGGCACAGAGAGCTGGGTCAGTTTTGCTAAAAGAAGATCAGGCATGATGGTATTTAAGGCCGAACTGAAGTCCACAAATAAGATCCTTGCGTAATTCCCAGGTCTGTTGAGGTGTTGCAGGATGTAGTGCAATCCCATGTTGACTGCATCATCCACAGACCAGTTTGCTCTGTAGGCAAACTGAAGGGGATCCAGCACCTCAATGATAATGGAGCATTTAAAGGAGAAGAGAACTTCACACTGCTCCAGTGATCTGTTGAAGATCTGCATTAAGACTGGGGCCAGTTGGTCAGCGCAAGCTTTTAAACAAGCAGGTAAGACGCTGTCTAGGCCTGAAGCTTTCCTAGTCTTCTGTTTTTTGAATACCCAGCACATATCCTCCACTCAGAACATAAAGACAGGTTGAATAGCAGAAGGCAGGACGATGGGGGTTGCAGGAGGTGTTGGTCTATGTGTGAAGTGCAGATAAGAGCGGTTGTGGGGTGTGAGACTGGGATTTTCAAACTGGCATTAAAACATATTCAGATTCTCAGCCAGTTATTGATTCTCCACAGATCATGGGGTTGGTGTATTGTCCTTGATGTTTCTCAGACCTGTCTAGACTGATGCCAGAATGTTGGCTGTTTTTTCATCTTCTTATAGCCACTCTGATCTCCCTTGTCAGTATTTCTGGGCTGGTTGTACAGGATTTTGTCCCTACTTCTGTAAGCAGCCTCTTTGGCATGAAGCTGTCAATTTTGCTGTAAACCATGGTTTATCATTACTGAATGATAAAAATGTCCTAGTAGGAATGAACATATCCTCAAAGAAACTGATGTATGATGTTACGGTTTCAGTGAGCTCGTCCAGATCGGTGGCTGCAGGTTCAAAAAGACTCCCAATTAGTGCAGTCGAAGCAGGCTTGTAGTTCCTGCTCTGATTCATTAGTCCATCTTTATACAGTCCTTATTACAGGTTTAGCTGATATCAGTTTCTGCCTGTAGGATGGAATATAATAAGCTGCACGTGGAACAGAGTGATATGCATCTTTTATTAGGGTGTAACAGTGTTTCAATATATTACTGTCTCCAGTGGGACATGCTGTTTGTATTTTGGTTGTTCAGGGGAGAGATTTGCTTTGTTAAACACACATAAAATCACATATTAGTAGATTTCGCACTGGAGGTGGTGTTGGGAGGAACTTGGCTTTTTCGAAAATTCAAATCAATCGAACCAACTGTGGTTCGAAAAAGCAACACACTGGTGTTACGCAGCACGTTTGAGCTTCCTCGAGAACCAGTGATGTTCATTCTTGTGTTATGCAGCACTTTGAGTATCCAAAAGAACCAATGAGGTTCATTCTCGTGTTACACAGCATGTGTGAGCTTTAACAAAAACCAGAGCTTCAGCAAAAACGAATAAGGTTCATTCTCATGTACTATGCAGCACATTTGAGTTTCAGCAAGAACCAGTTAGGTTCATTCTAAGCCCCTTTCACACAGAGATTCCGGAAAATATACGGATAATGTGTCCCGGGATCGTTTGATTTTGGTTCATTCACACTGCCAGTGATCTTCTGGAATTTGAGAGTGTGTTGACACATCCCCGTAAAGACACGTGATGTCAGGATGTGACGTGTAATATCTCCATAGCGTCTAAGTTTGCTTATGATCTGCGATTTCTCTCAAGAAATAACACTCATGCTTTTTTTTTTTATTCTGATTCGACCATAAACTAGCATATTGCATACCGTTCCACTAAGCTGACGAATTATCTCAGCGTCATCACTACGACACACCCCTTACACCATTGGTCCTGGCTTTTGTTCACACAAGGCGCATTCCAGGACTGATTCCAGCATCAATCCCAGGACATGTTTGTATTCACACAGAAGGCACTCTAGCAATTTTATGGCAATATCCCGGAATCAACGCACTGTGTGAAAGGGGTTCTAGTGTTACGCAGCACATTTGAGCTTTGGCAAGAACCAATGAGGTTCATTCTAGTGTGTTAGGACCTGCTCATATATCACATCTTTTGCGTGCTCAAATTCGTTATTTCAAATGTAGGCGCACGGTATGCGTGCTCAAAGGATGGGGTAGACTGAGTGGACTAGGGGTTGATGTCGCCCAGCAATGTCCCAGCATCAAGACAATGTTGGGGTCGGTCCTCTCCAAAATGTGCACCTCAACATACACAGGTTCCCGCAAGACTTTTGTGACCGGATAATCAGCATGACTGTAGTAGGACGTGTACGCCTCATCCCCTGAGGAAGAATACAGTGTTTGACTTGAAACTGCTGAAAACTGGAGTTTTAGAAAGGCTTTAGGCATACTTGGGACAAACACTTACCTTCTGCACAGCCTTTGGTGACACATTGACCATTTGCCAGTCTAAGCTCCACTCTGAGGGGTCCAGGAGCAGCTACTGGTGGAGGTGGAGGAACAGTGTTGACCTCCACAACCAGAGCTTCCACAGAAGTACCAGAGTACCTACACTGGAAGAGAAGCCTGGACAACAAACAGTGAGCATGTAGCATTTGTCCAGAATTAACATTTATGATAAAGCATGCATCACTTACTCAAAATGGCTGTCCCTTGTGATGGAACCAAGTGGTCCCACACCCACTTCATACGAGGAGGTCATTCTGTTTTCATACACCACATATCCACTGTCCTCCTGCAAATAGTAACCGTTGGCATCCAGTCCATTCCAAGCCTTGCAGAACAAAACCACAAGCAGCTACTCACCATCATGCTTGTGCCACATGCAGTGACAGGTAACTGATATATAGCAAAGAAAGGTGTGGTTCCCACAGGACTGCAAGCTGGATCATTTCCACCCAGGAGACGGACTGAATCCAGGCTCAATCGAGGCAGCGTAACATCTCTAGCCACCACTACCACAAACTGACCATCTCTTATACACTGGACAGTCACTGAAACAAGGTACAAGAGCAGGTTATTGCTGAAGATCAGTTTAACATGAACACCTTTACATTGACTCACTCTTACCTGCCTTCCCATAGTAACACTGCTGTCCATTAAAGCAGCAGTTGATAGCTGCACACTCAGCACCACTGATACCAGGTGGTCCACATTGGATCTGCTCATAATCAGCTACAGCACATTTGTCAAGGGGCTCTGCCTGTGCCACTGGCTGCTTAGGCTGAAACTGCTGAGGAAACTGTTGACTAGCTTGCTGTTGAACTGACTGAGGAAACTGCTGAGGAAACTGTTGACTACCTTGCTGTTGAACTGACTGAGGAAACCGTTGACTAGCTTGGTGTTGAACTAACTGTTGAAACTGCGGAGAAAACTGTTGACTTGCTTGCTGTTGAACTGGTTGTTGAAACCGCTGGTCAGTTTGCTGGAACATCAGAGTTTGAGGATTCTGGGGAAGATTATTCCACTTTGGAACAGCATGACAGAAAGCACCAAACCAAACACAAAAACAAAGTGCCAGAGACTGAACAGCATACCAACTTCCTGCCATTGTTCAACAGCTAGTCACACTGTTGAGATGCTGCCCTTTGGTCTTTTTGTACTCTACAGATTTTGGCAAATTAATGATAATCCCTCCCTCTTCGTTAACAGTCATGATTCTGCAGACTTGTATGAGTGGGAGTTTATGCAACTGGGTGATTCCATTGGTTCATAAGAATAAAGTTATTCCTTGTTCTTTTCCACCCTTATTAAACATACATAAAATCACATATTAGTGGATTTCGCACTGGAGGTGGTGTTGGAAGAAACTTGGCTTTTTCAAAAATTCTAATCAATCGAACCAATTCTGGTTCAAGAAAGCAACACACTGGTGTTACGCAGCACGTTTGAGCTTCCTCGAGAACCAGTGATGTTCATTCTTGTGTTATGCAGCACTTTTTGAGTATCCAAAAGAACCAATGAGGTTCATTCTCGTGTTACACAACATGTGTGAGCTTTAACAAAAACCAGAGCTTCAGCAAAAACAAATAAGGTTCATTCTCATGTATTATGCAGCACATTTGAGCTTCAGCAAGAACCAGTGAGGTTCATTCTAAGCCCCTTTCACACAGAGATTCCGGAAAATATATGGATAATGTGTCCCAGGATCGTTTGATTTTGGTTCATTCACACTGCCAGTGATCTTCCGGAATTTGAGAGTGCGTTCACACATACGCGCAAAGACACGTGACATCAGGATGTGACGTGTAATATCTCCACAGTGTCTAAGTTTGCTTATATGCGATTTCTCTCAAGAAACAACGCTCATGCTTTTTTTTTTTATTCTGATTCGACCATAAACTAGCATATTGCATACCGTTCCACTAAGCTGACGAATTATCTCAGCATCATCACTACGACACACCATTGGTCCTGGCTTTTGTTCACACAAGGCGCGTTCTGGGACTGATTCCCGCATCAATCCCAGGACATGTTTGTGTTCACACAGAAGGCACTCTAGCAATTTTATGGCAATTTCCCGGGATCAACGCACTGTGTGAAAGGGTTTCTAGTGTTACGCAGCACATTTGAGCTTTGGCAAGAACCAATGAGGTTCATTATAGTGTGTTACACAGCACATTCGAGCTACAGCAAGAACAAATTGACAGGTGCTTTATGATCCACCTGCCTCCCATAGAGTTTTTTTCCCCTAAGACAATGGCCCTCAATGGAAGTTTTATTTGGTATGTTGAGGACAGCTGTAACTTCTACAAATCTCCCAAGAACAATTTCATGCTGGTAGCATTGCACAAAATGTGGTCAGACAAGGTTAAGGTTTAATATCATTTATTAAATACTCATAGAATCAGTCTCACTTCTCCACTAGAAACCACAGTTTGGCCAGAAGTGGTAGCGTTTAAACGAACGTCCCTTCCTAAAAGTGCAAGAAAACAAACAAAATTTAACACTCCCACAACTTTTAAAACACAAGCTAAATTAAACAGTTTAAATAACAGGAAGCACTGACTTTGCCTGGAGCAACTTTGCTGACAAGAGCCAGAAGAGGGATGGCACACCTCTGTACTGCAATGGATGAAGACCTGAGACGAGAACCAAAGCTGGCATTAGGAACCAAGAGACAGTTGAAAACTGACACACTGGGTACTGTACCGTTTCCTGCAGAGGAGCCAGTGATGCTGGATCTACAAATGTGAACATCTTCACAACAAAGCGCTTGTAGTGGGTTGGGAACTGAAGACCAGATGATCCAGCCACTGGAACCAATATGGTCAGGTAACGATCATCCTGGTAAGGGCATCTGAAAGGCAAAGAGGCAGTCAGAAACACCTTACTGCACACTAGATGGATAAAGACTGGCCTTACTCACCCATCAACCAGAAGGTCCCACTGGGGTAGACTGAGTGGACTAGGGGTTGATGTCGCCCAGCAATGTCCCAGCATCAAGACAATGTTGGGGTCGGTCCTCTCCAAAATGTGCACCTCAACATACACAGGTTCCCGCAAGACTTTTGTGACCGGATAATCAGCATCACTGTAGTAGGACGTGTACGCCTCATCCCCTGAGGAAGAATACAGTGTTTAACTTGAAACTGCTGAAAACTGGAGTTTTAGAAAGGCTTTAGGCATACTTGGGACAAACACTTACCTTCTGCACAGCCTTTCGTGACACATTGACCATTTGCCAGTCTAAGCTCCACTCTGAGGGGTCCAGGAGCAGCTACTGGTGGAGGTGGAGGAACAGTGTTGACCTCCACAACCAGGGCTTCCACAGAAGTACCAGAGTACCTACACTGGAAGAGAAGCCTGGACAACAAACAGTGAGCTTGGAGCATTTGTCCAGGATTAACATTTATGATAAAGCATGCATTACTTACTCAAAATGGCTGTCCCTTGTGATGGAACCAAGTGGTCCCATACCCACTTCATACGAGGAGGTCATTCTGTTTTCATACACCACATATCCACTGTCCTCCTGCAAATAGTAACCGTTGGCATCCAGTCCATTCCAAGCCTGGCAGAACAAAACCACAAGCAGCTACTCACCATCATGCTTGTGCCACATGCAGTGACAGGGAACTGATATATAGCAAAGAAAGGTGTGGATCCCACAGGACTGCAAGCTGGATCATTTCCACCCAGGAGACGGACTGAATCCAGGCTCAATCGAGGCAGCGTAACATCTCTAGCCACCACTACCACAAACTGACCATCTCTTATACACTGGACAGTCACTGAAACAAAGTACAAGAGCAGGTTATTGCTGAAGATCAGTTTAACATGAACACCTTTACATTGACTCAACACTCTTACCTGCCTTCCCATAGTAACACTGCTGTCCGTTAAAGCAGCAGTTGATAGCTGCACACTCAGCACCACTGATACCAGGTGGTCCACATTGGATCTGCTCATAATCAGCTACAGTACATTTGTCAAGGGGCTCTGCCTGTGCCACTGGCTGCTTAGGCTGAAACTGCTGAGGAAACTGTTGACTAGCTTGCTGTTGAACTGACTGGGGAAACTGTTGACTAGCTTGAGCTGGCTGAGGAAACCATTGACTAGCTTGCTGTTGAACTGACTGAGGAAACTGCTGAGGAAACTGTTGACTACCTTGCTGTTGAACTGACTGGGGAAACGGTTGATTACCTTGCTGTTGAACTGACTGAGGAAACGGTTGACTAGCTTGTTGAACTGGCTGAGGAAACCGTTGACTAGCTTGCTGTTGAACTGACTGAGGAAACTGTTGACTTGCTTGCTGTTGAACTGGTTGTTGAAACCGCTGGTCAGTTTGCTGGAACATCAGAGTTTGAGGATTCTGGGGAAGATTACTCCACTTTGGCACAGCATGACAGAAAGCACCGAACCAAACACAAAGTGCCAGAGACTGAACAGCATACAAACTTCCTGCCATTGTTCAACAGCTAGTCATATTGTTGAGATGCTGACCTTTGGTCTTTTTGTACTCTACAGATTTTGGCAAATTAATGATAATCCCTCCCTCTTCGTTAACAGTCATGATTCTCCAGACTTGTATGAGTGGGAGTTTATGCAACTGGGTGATTCCATTGGTTCATAAGAATAAAGTTATTCCTTGTTCTTTTCCACCCTTATTAAAGATGAAGGGTGTTGTGGCAGTCTTTACCATGGTAATCTGTTTACAGTATTACATGGCATACATACTGTAATGTAAAATGCTGTATTTGATGCCATCTGTCTCCCTTCTACTGGTGCATGTCTGATCAATCTAATGTTACACAGTCATTGACTGTTTCCTCTCCCTTGTACTCTATCCTGATCTATGTTCACAAATTGCTAATCTCTCTGTCTTACACACACACACACACACACACACACATAATAGGCAAACGGAACGAGAAAGGATGCATATCAAAAGTTTAGTAGAAGATAGTAAGAGTTTTATGAAAGGCAGTTACTGTGAATGAAACATTTGTATAGATTAAACACTTATTTTGTGAAAAGGATACTTTGTGATTTTGTGTATTGCAATTCAAAATATGCTGCAATGTTTGAAAAAAAAGTCCACTTTTTGATCTGTTGTGATATTACACTAGGAGTTTTGAAAATGAACCGATTTATTGGGAAAATTGCGGCAAAGCAATTTAATAAACTGTAAAATGTTTTGTCGATTCGCTGAGTCAGACAATTATATTTGCAACGCAAAAAATAAGGTCTATCTGTTTCCATTTAAAATATATAAACATCAAAAAACATATGTTTACCTTATAGGCAAAATTGCGTATATATTTTATTTGTTTAAAACAATTTTAAATACCAGTGGAAAAGAATGAGAAAACTTTCTCTGAAAGTAGGCCTATTTTATAAAATGTTGATTTTATGGATATTTTGATAGGCTGTATTTATTCTAAAACAAGGCAAGGATACTGAACTATTTTTAGCAATGTAATGTGACTGCACAAATGGCATTTATAGTCCGTATCCTTGTCTTGTATCTTTAAACAAGGTATCATGTGGATGGGAATGGAAATGATTTGCAGATGAGGATATGCATAGTAAAACTAGGCATTGTAAGCTCCATATATGGTTATTTAAGGGAGAAGATGCATACACACACAATCTTCCCCTGACTAGGGAATTTTGCACAGGTTCTGGTTTTATAAATCTGAAGACTTAGACTCTCTCGCATGCCGTATTTTGAGTTTAATAACCACTAACAGTCAAAAATAATAATATACAATACACAGAAAATCAACTTACAAAAGTAAATCAAATAAATAGGCTACAATGTATTGTGCCCAAGATTTAATTAGATTGTTTTGAAATATGAATACATTTCTTTCTGGTTTTGAGGTTTTGTTTATGGCAGCCATAGTACCTTTTATGGTTAGAACATTAGAACATTACAATCTAAAATATATATATATATATATATATATATATATATATATATATATATATATATATATATATAAAGCAGAAGTTAAATCACTACATTAAAAATTAAAATGAATAATACAATAGCACAGACTGAATTTTTACTGGTAACAGGAACACACATTAACTCATCTGGGCTTATAGGCTATTACATAGTCCCTTTACAGTTACTGCTAACATAAAAATACACTTACTTGTAGGTTTAAAATTGTACATAAGACACATTCAATGTCCAACAACAAATATTTTAACAAAATGTATATTTTAGTCAGAATTATTACACTCCCATTCTCAGGAGCGGCCTTACCTATGTTTCACCCGTTTCAATTGAAACAGGCCCCGCCCTCCAAGGGGGGCCCCAACAGACCAGCAAAATCCCATTAATTTTCTCCGTAGGATATTGATTTTCAGCCATAATGTCTAAACCATTCCAGATAGATTGACAACGAGGTTGTGGAACAAAAGTTTCTGCTCCTATAAAAGCCACAAGGTATGAAATCAACCTTGTTATTCACAATCTTCTGGAGAAATACTACACTACCCACAATTCTAAGCAAAACACTGACATCTCTGATTGGTCGAACTCGCGGTTACCATACCTTGCTTTTTCTGCTCTATTATGTTTATGTTTTATGTGGGTAGGGCCCCATACCAGTTATTGAAACGGGGCCCCAGATGCTTAAAGTCCCCGAGAATGATTGTTAGAGAGTCCGGGTATCGTTACTCCATGTCTGTAATCTGATCAGCCAGCTGTTGCAGTGCTGTGTTCACACACGCGTTTGGAGGGATGCACACATTCACGAGAACGAATGAGGAAAACTCCTCATTCATATATATATATATATATATATATATAGGACACTTTGTGTCTCCATTCTGCATGCTATTAAAGGGACCCAGATAGCATGTAATCATTGAAACAATGTTGACTCAGTGTTGATGCGTCAACGCTAATTGCATTGAATTAACGTTACAAAGTAATGTTGCTTTAGTATCACTCTTGCACCCTCAGTTAATGTTGAAATAATGTTGGGAATTCAACCAAAAATCAATGGTAATAGTATTGATTCAACATTACAAAGTGATATTTTATCAACATCACTTTTGCACCCTCAGTTAATGTTGAAATAATGTTGGGAATTCAACCAAAAATCAACGGTAATAGTATTGATTCAACATTACAAAGTGATATTTTATCAACATCACTTTTGCACCCTCAGTTAATGTTGAAACTATGTTGAACAAAAAATCAATGGTAATGCTATTGAATCAACGTTACACTATGATTGATTATACATCACTGCTGTTGAATCAATATTGAAATTAACAAAAATACTCAATGGTAATATTGTTGAATCAACGTTACACTATGATGTTGAATCTACATCACTTGAATCAGCTCTGAAATTAACAAAAATAACCAATGGTAATATTGTTGAATCAACATTACACTATGATTGATTCTATATCACTGATGCTGAATCAATATTGAAATTAACAAAAATAACCAATGGTAATATTGTTGAATCAACGTTACACTATGATTTTGAATCTAAATCACTGCTGTTGAATTAACACTGAAATTAACAAAAAATAATCTTTGGTAATATGGTTTGATCAATGTTACAATGTGATGTTGATTCCAAATACATTTTGTTGAAAGACTGAAAAGGAATGTCAAACAATGTTGCCATCTGATGTACCAATTAATGTTGAAACAACATTAATATTTCAATCACACTTCAATGGTGCGTCAACAAATTCCTGACCATTTCAAAATTTGTCGAAAACCTTTTCAAATATAAATGACACCTTTCCAGCAGTTGAGTCAATTTATTTTATTCAATCAATCAATGACAACAAATATATTAAAATATCATTTTTTTTTTTTAAGAAAGGGGGAGAAATAGGACAAAAGCATTTCAACCTTTAAAAATAAAATTGGCTTCAGAAGTCTGATGCCATCATAACTACAGGTCCAGCGGTTCAGGTTTTTAAAAATCTGTCTTGCATCATCAGATTCTGCCTCTTTTCCTTTGAGTTCTCTGGAATCTGAAAAAGAAAGCATGATGTTACTCAAGAACGAATCAATTCAGTTGTAATACATACAGTCACATTCAATAATGTTAATATACTAAACACAATATGATTCACTTTTTTTTCAAAGTCACTGAAAACAAAATATTCTAACTACGATTATAGTATCGTAAAATTCTGTTTCTTTCTTTCTATGCTTTAATATCAAAAGAAAACACTAGCAGGGGTGTCGGATTTTATCTCCAGTCCTAATTAAACACACCTGAGGCAGTTAATCAAGGTCATCAGATCAATGAACACTTCCAGGTGCTGGAGCTAAACTCTTCATGAAGAGGAACAAACACCTCTGAGCTATAGCCATTAACTACATCTCAGTTCATTTTCTGTGAAACTACAGCATTCAAATAACACGTTTATCTTGTAGAATAAAAAATATCTTAGTTTTTTTCAATGAAAATTTCTTTAAAGAGATAGTTCAGCCCGAAATGAAAATTCTGTAATCATTTACTCACCCTCAAGTTGTTCCAAACCTGTATGAGTTTATTTCTTCTTTTGAACACAAAATAAAATATTTTAAATTATGTCGGTAACCAGAAAGTTGACGGTGGCCGTTGATTTCCATAGTAGGAAATAATGACCATGGAAGTCAATGGCTAACATCAACTGTCTGGTTACCGACATTATTCACTCTTCTTTTGTGTGCAGCAGAAGAAAGACATTCATACAGGTTTGGAACAACTTGAGGGTAAATAAATGATGACATAATTTTCATTTCAGGCTGAACTATCTCTTTAAAGCTGCATATTCACCTTATGTAGACCCCAATCTCTTTAAATATCACAAAATAGCCATGTCAGTCAGTTTCTTAATAAACACTAGATGTTTTTTTGTTATTGTGTTTCAGTGGAAACAAGCTAAACTGAATGGAAATCAGTTATGTCTCAAATTTAATACAGATTCAGGAATATGAATGATTACCTGATTAAGCAGTGATAAGATACAGGATATCATCAAGTCCCAGGTCAGGTGATTATGCTGTCGACAACAACTCAATGTATGATCAATGTCAGCATTATCAGGAGGGTGCTTTTTTTAATTGTCCATCTTCATCTGCCTTCACTCCTACTAAAGGAGCAATGTGTTCTGCATGCAAGCACTGACCGATACAAGACATGGGCTATGTTAACATTCTTGCTCATGTTCATGTCTCTTGCACCTTCAGAAATCTGTTAAATGACATAACTTTATTCAGGGAATTCCTAATAAACTTTACTAAAGCAAGATGCATTTTTTTAAGAATGTAGAAAAATAGATGCTTTATTCAAACACTTTAATAACTTTGTAATCTAATTACAGTGAGTAACAACACAAATCAAACGCAAATAAGCATGCAAAACAAAGGAACAGTGAAATAAGGTAGATGCACCATTGTTTGAAACTGTGCTAGAGAAGTCATGTAAGTATGTCAGGTGATTCAACAAACAAGACTTCT